AAACAATTCCAATCAGTGATCTGATCGCCTGTATCCGTAGCCAGGATGAATCGATAATCCACAAAACGTTACCAATTGAAGATACTCATGCATCTTCATATATGTGGGCCTCTTTTGAAGACGGGCTTGCAAGTGGTGTGGCCGGGTTTACCCTTAAAGACCTTGCCAATGAAGACGGGCAAAATAACAGTCTCCAGCAGAAGTGAGGTAACTCCATGCTACCCCTGGAAGGTAAAACAGCCATAGTCACCGGCGCCGGCCGGGGTGTCGGCGAGGCCACGGCTAAACGTCTATCTGCCGCGGGTGCCCACGTTGTGGTTAATGATCTGGATGAGAGCGAAGCAAACGCCTGCGTGGCCGCAATCAACTCAACCGGAGGTCTGGCAGTCGCCTGTGCTGGAGATGTTACAGCCGCGAATTTTCCCGAGCGCCTCATCGATACCGCGATCGAAAGCTTCGGCGGCATTGACGTTCTGGTGAATAATGCCGGTTACATCTGGAATGGCGCCATTCAAAACCATTCGGATGAGCAATGGCAGGCGATGCTCGATGTACACGCTACCGCACCGTTTCGGATTCTACGCGCGCTGGCGCCATGGCTGCGGGAGACTGCCAGGCGTGAGCAGGCCGAACAGGGCGCCGCGTCTGTACGCAAGATCGTCAACGTCTCCAGCGTCTCCGGCACCACTGGCGCGGCAACTCAGATTGCATACTCGGCCGGCAAAGCAGCTGTGGTGGGTATAACCCGAACACTCGCCAAAGAATGGGGTCGTTACAACGCAACCGTTAACTGTGTGGCGTTTGGCCATATCGAAACCCGACTCACCCAGAGTTACAGCGGCGAGCCGCCCACCATCAGCGTTGGCGACCGGGATTTTCGTGTGGGTCTGAGTGAACAACAGATTGATTCATCTATGCGGGCTTCTCCGCTCGGGCGCAGCGGCAGACCCGAAGACGGCGCGGGCGCAATCTACCTGCTGTGCCTGCCCGAGTCTGATTTCATTACCGGCGAAGTACTGACTTGTTCCGGTGGTGCGCAGTTGTAGAGGACACGCAAACATGGCAACGGTCATTCTCCACCAGTTCCCCTCCTCCCACTACAACGAAAAAGCCCGTTGGGCGTTAACCTACAAACATGTTGATCACACTCGGCAGAGCTACCTGCCGGGGCCCCATATCAGCCAGATTAAAAAGCTCTCCGGCCAGAGTTCTGTACCGGTCCTGGAGTGGGACGGCGCAATTGTCCCGGCTGTGAGAACAATAGCCTGGGCAGGAATGATCAATCACAACCGATACGCAACAAGTGTCTTCGGAAAAGGTAAACCGCGATTCACCATGTTTTTCTACCGGCTTGCGTTTCCTTTTGTAAAACCACTGATCGCCAAAGCCAATGGCGTAAATCCTGAAAATATTGAGAAGTCGAAACTAATAGTCCAGTCCTACCTTGATGAGATCAACGAAGCTGTGTCGAATACCGGCTACCTGATCAGCGCGCAGTTCAGTGCGGCAGATCTGACAGCAGCAGCTTTGCTGGCGCCACTTGCCAACCCTGACCACGAAGATATGAAACGGCCTAGCCCGATTGTCGACTCCTTCAAAGAAATACTGGACACCTACAGCCGCCACCCCACAATTAGCTGGGTCGAAAAACAATACAGAGAGCAACGAAGCTGAACTATGGACTGCAGGCCGTAGATTCAATCTTGGCACCAATTTTCCATCCCGCAGTGATTCGCAGCGGTTCAGTCTCTAATTAATCGATTAACCCTTTAGCAACTTGCAGATACTCACCAGCAATCTTCGCTGTCGTGAATTGGCGTAAGTGTTCCTGTAATTCCAGCTCGTCTATAACCAGAGGATTATGCAACTCCTCTACAATGGCAGTTGCCAGAGCAAGCGGCTCATCCGGAGCAACAAGCACGCCGAATTTTCCATTAGCAAGGACTTCTCTGGGTCCTGAGGGGCAATCGGTAGCAATCACCTTCAACCCGGCATGTAATGCTTCTACCAATACGTTCCCGAATCCCTCCCAACTGGATGACTGCAAGAACACATCACTTCCAGCCAGCTTCTCGGGCAAATTCTTAACAAATCCACGCAAGGTAATTTGCATACTCAAATCAAGCTCATCAATCAACGCTTGCAGCTGTTCGCTAAGCGCCCCTGTACCATATAAATCAAGATGGCAGGATACATTAAACCTGTCGGTCAAAATCTTAATCGCTCGAATCATAACCGGATAATTTTTTGCTTGAGTCAGCCGGCCCGCGGCGATGATTCTGACCGAATCACTATTTGGCGTCCGCCTGGCAAGTGACTTCGCCTCTTGCAAAACAGGGTTATAGATTCGCTCTACAGACTCCGGTTTCAGCCGGAAGTATTCAATGAGTGAATCTCTTGCGCCATCCGATACCGCAACCACCTTTGCAGCATGAGTGCAGGCCTGCCTGTGGAGCAGTCGCAGGAACCGGGTTTTGAATGACAAACCCACTGCGGCATCGCGAACCCGCAGATCACTGTGCACAGTAGCAATGCAGGGCGGCGGATCCGGGACCCATGACGAGGCTATCCAGGCGGTAATATTCGCCATATCCGTAATACCAATAACGACATCTACGGATAACTTTCTTAAAAGTGATCTCAGGCCAAATATTCGCAATGGAAGGAATCTGTTTGAGGGTTTGTACAGTTTTATACGAGGATCGAGTGCGTAGTTCTCGTCACCCTTTTCATCCCAGTAGAAGATCCCGACTTCGTGACCAAGTTCAATCATCTCGGCCGCCAGATTGACAGCCACTCGCTCAGCCCCGCCTCCGCCTACGGAACTGGCGACTATAAGAACATTGATAGGCCCTCTACTAGGCATCAAGGCCAATTGCACACAGACAACTCCGTGCGGCTGTTTCAATACTTACCATATTTTTTTTCATATCAATCGAATCTGCCGATTGATCAGCCAGAACTTTCTCAATTATTGGCCATGGGTCCCGACTCAATAACGTTTCTGCAGGCACCACGCAATCCAGCCCTCCAACCTGCTGCCAAACAGCTGACACTTTAGGATCCCACGAAATTGGCGCCACTTTTTTGCCTAAACCCCGAGCGACAATACCCGCGTGCATCCTGGTGCTAACCATCGACGATAACTTAGAGATTTGTTCAACCAACACTTTTACACATACCGGGCGGGGTTCAAGCTCAATTGTCACTCCCTTGTTGTGCAGATGTGAAATGACCTTTTCAGCAGTCGAGTAATCATCCCGACTTCCATTAGTTAACAGGCGAACTTGTCTACCGGAGTTAGATGCTCCGAGTAAAACTCTTGCCCAGAAATCAAAATACTGGTTATCCGTGAGCGCACTCAGTGATGGAACGTGTCGCCGAAAATCATTCGCCGGCTGAATATTCACACCTAGAATATTGTTCTGATCCAAACCAACCAGCTTCGGGTTCAGTTCTCCGATAACAAAGGCCGGGTCTGGATGAACATTCACCGACACATTGCGGGACACATAATTGGAAAGAAATGCAGCACTGGACTGGTCTCGAGCCGAGACATAAACTGCCTGTTGGAGAACTAATGAATAGAGCTTGGCAGCCAGATATCCCCAGCGAGGATCAGAACCACAGCCGAATACCGCTAAAGGTTTACCGTGCAGCTTCGCCAGTCGGGCTACTTCGTAAACCCTCGGAGGAAAGCGGAAAAATCTGTCGGTTAATATTTGCCCGCCGCCAATAACGACAGCATCAGAAGACACAATAGCTCTGCTCCACTGCCGCACCTGTCTGTTTCTTTTCAAGACGTACCAATCCAGCGCAGCGTGGGCTCTACCAAGTTGCCGATTGTTTTGGAACGGTTTTCTAACGAGCTTCCTTAGAGCGCTGGCTTCCTTGACCTCGGTCTGCGTACCCTCGACCGGCTCAGCCCGACCCGACAGATCTACCGGAATTGTCGTTACGCCGTGTTTGCCAAAAAGATAGCTGATACAATCATAAATGACACCGTCGCCAAGATTGGAGCTGTGTATTTCCCCAAACACAGCGACTCGTTTTACGTTTCCAGAAGTCATCGCCTGAATATGCTCTTGAGCAAACTCAACTTTTCTCGCAAACTAAATTCATCGCTCAGCAACACGCTGCCAACAAAAACCCTCCATTTTTTTTCGCTTTTCGCCAGCTTCGCCGCCAGGCTTCTGCGCCTGAAGGTCCTGTCAATCCAAGCCTGTATTTTGACGGCGAGTGACTGGTCTATAAACCCCTGCAATGAGGCCTTTTCGAGATCAACTGCATGTTGCCTGCAGATTTCATCAACACTCATGGAATGTTTAGAAGCACTTGCAGACAGATTGCCGGGATGACGACGATAGTAAATGCCCGGTTCAGAAGAAATGACACCAGATCCAAGCATCAGGCTTCTCAGCAAATAAGGCGTATCTTCAGTGGGACACGATTCGTTCAAATCACCAAAGACTTCATAGACACGTTTGCGAAACCCTCGCGAAGCACCGGTTAGATGACGAACCCTTCCCGAAAGATAATCTAGCAGGCTAACTTCTCTGGATTCAAACAACGGATTTCCAGCGGACTTCGCAACAGTCTCGCCGCGGCTGTCTATCACAATATCCGTAAAACAAATGATAGTGGCACTTGGGTGCTCACGAAACAAATCTACGGTTCTGGAAACTCTATAAGGCAAAGAAATATCGTCGCCAGCGGCCACAACGATGATTTCTCCTTTGGCTTTGGAGACAAGCTCATTGAAGTGTCTGGCAAGGCCACGGTTAACGGGGTTTCCATTTAGAATGACTTCATGCGGTCCAGAGTAATTGTCCGCCAACACTTTCATATGATCGAAAGTTGCATCTGTCGAACAATCATCTGACAAAATTATTTCTAGCGGTGAATAGTCCTGCTTCAGGGCTGCCTCAACGGCTTGTCGAACGTATTGTTCCTGGTTATAGGCCAGAAGTACAAATGTAACCAGAGGATGGTCAATCAGATTACTCATCCCATACACCCAACTTCGTCATCAAGCGACGACTCAAACCTGCCATACGATCTGCGAATCCACTGAGCGTTGTCATCCGTCCTATGCGCGCCAACGCATACAAGCCCAGTAAAGCTGCCGCTGGAATACCCAACCCGGCGCCAAGCCACTTAGACCAAACACCAGAAATGAATACCATGATCGTAATAACCATCAACAGAGCCAACTGCCTATAGACACGCGTCTGCCATTTAAAACCGGTTCTGCGTCGAGCAAGCCAGTACACCATGGACAAAAAAACCGCATACTTGCCGAGAGAAGCAATGCCAGTGGCTTCAATATCAAAAAATGGCAGAAGCACCCAAGTCAATCCGACTAACACCAGCATCGCGATGAATTCAATCAGCATTACCAAACGGCCTTCACCGGACGCCAGAATAACGATACCCAATGGCCATGATGCTACTTTTAGAACATCCGCCAACACTTGCCAACGGAACACTTCAGCGGCTTCTTTAAACTGGTTCGAAAACAGTAATTCGATCACCCACGGTGCAAGGCCTAACATGGTCACCAGCACTGGGGCAGCCAGCAACAACGCTACCTCTGCCTGCTCGTTCACCAACTGATTGGTGGCTGCAGAATCGCGAATCGCCGCGGTGAGGCGCGGATAATAGTCCGCACCCATAGCGCCCAGTACGAAGCCGATATACATAGCCGAAATCATCCAGGCAGCCTGAAAATTACCTAACGCCTCCGCGCCAAGTTCCTGCTGCACAATCATTCGAACGGCAAGCTGACCAACGGGGCCAGCCAGACCAGCCACCATGAAAGCAAAGCCCAGCCTAGCTAAAGTTTCCCATTGTTGCTGCAACTCGCGAAACTGCGTTGGCGAAGCGGTCATTCTGGGTAGACGGGAAACGAACCAATGACCTAAGAGGAAGCTGGATAAAGGCCCCGCGAGCACAAAAATCAACACACCTTTGTCGCCTAAGAGCAGAAGTGCACCTAGACCAAGCAAGGTCGACAACAATGTCGATAAGACGCTAACCCGCGCAACATCACCGATGCGTCGCAAACCATTTAATAATGCACCCTGTGACCCTGCTGCTACTGTCAGGGCAACCCCTATCGCTAACCACCCAACAGTTCCAGCAGCACCTGCATCACCGATGACCGCTGTAGCAAGACCGTCCCGCAACAACCAGAACACACTGCCCCCAACTGTTGCCAGCCCTATAGTCCCCAAAAACAACGCTCTTCTCGCCGCCGATACCGCCTGGACATCATCGTTGGCATTAGCTTCGGCAATTAGCCTCGTCCCCACGCTACCAAAACCAAGCGCACTCACGGTAGATGCTGTGGCCATCAAGTTTTGCAGAAGCCCGATTAGGCCTACACCTGCCGGACCTAGAAGCACAGCAACAACTTTGGTGCGCAGCAGAGCTATCAGGATGTTGACGACCGAAGCGCCGCCAATAATTGAGGACGAGCGCAGAATCTGACGATATGAATCGCTCAACCTAATCCAGAGCCCTTATCACTCTAACTGGATTGCCACCGGCAATAACGTGACTTGGAATATTCCTAGTCACGACAGTTCCATTAGCGATGACCGATCCTTCACCAATGCTGACCCCTTTCAAGATTTTTACGTTCGAGCCGAGGAATACCTTATTGCCGACCTCCACTGGCTGAGCCCACTCCGGTTTTGAGGCACCCCGCTCATCAAATTTCAGGCTGTGAAAATCACTATCCAAAATCTCTACATTTACACCGATGAGGCAATCTTCACCTATGTCAATGAAGGTATGTTCGGCAATGGCGCAAAAGTTGTTATTGATCGAAGTCCTGGCGCCGATCGATATGCTGGCTGATTCTTTCCTGGCCTCAAGATAAGCGTAAGTCGAGAAAAACGATGGCGACGGATGGGAACCAATAGTGACGCTGTCGCCAATCGTGACATTCCCCAATCCGTTGCATTGGATCGGCTGCAGGCGACGCGGTGCCCCGGAAATGGAATTCGTCGAAACCACGCGGTAGAAAGCACCTCGCAACAGTTGAACGGCACGACAGATCAAACTGATGACGCGACGCCGTATGTTATTCATCAACAGCCAGAACCTCTTCGATGACTTTTTCAACCGCGTCCCGATCAAGCTGCGGCCCCATGGGCAAACTCAGCACCTCGCTCGCCATCCTTGAGGCAAGTGGAAAGGCATCCGCTGTGACTCCCAGTTGAGAGTACGCCTGTTGGTCGTAAGGAGGAATCGGGTAATGAACCTGGCTGCCAATGCCCGCGTTCACGAGCTTGTTCTGCAGTTCGTCTCTATCCGGATGACGAACAACAAACAAGTGCCATACTGGTTCAATTCCATCTGGGACCAACGGTAAAGCTAGCCCGGTGCCGGTCAACCCACGCAGATACTGGTCCGCGATGACAGACCGTCTTGCGTTCCACGCATCCAGATATTGGAGCTTCACCCGCAGAACTGCCGATTGAATTGGATCCAGTCGACTGTTGTAGCCCTGTATTTTATTAACGTTCTTCTCGCTGGAGCCGTAATTACGCAGGAGACGAATGCGCTGCGCCAGCTCAGGATCATCTGTTGTGACCGCACCACCATCCCCCAGAGCGCCAAGGTTTTTTGAGGGATAAAAACTCCAGGCCACCGCGTCGCCATGAGCGCCAAGGCGTTTTCCCTTATAGCGGGCGCCATGGGCCTGAGCGGCATCTTCCAGTACTTTTAAGCCGTGCTTGTGAGCAATCTTCAATATTGGGTCCATATCGGCAGGCTGCCCATATAAATGAACCGGCAAAATCACTTTTGTCGCTGGCGTAATTGCCGCTTCGATTAATCCCGGATCAATGTTGTAGGTAGCCTCGAAAGGCTCCACTGGCACCGGGGTTGCTCCGCACTGGCTTACCGCCAGCCAGGTGGCAATGTAAGTGTTTGAAGGAACAATGACCTCATCACCTGGACCAACGTCCATCGCACGCAGAGCGAGGTGCAACGCATCCAGACCGTTACCGACACCGATGCAGTACGAAGCCTCACAATAGGCTGCGTACTCAGTTTCAAACGCCTCAACTTCGGGGCCAAGGATGTACCAGCCACTGGCCAGAAGACGTGCAATTGCTTCATCTATCTCGGCCTGCAGTTCTCTGTAGGCTGCACCCAGATCCAGAAAAGGCACTTGCACTAGGCTAGCCCTTTTTCTTTGAGGAACTCGTTATAGTCGCGAATGTAATCCCCGGCATCGTAAAACTCGGATGCAAAAACCAACAGAACGGCATCTGCAGAGTATTTATACTGGATACCCCAGACCATAGGCGAAAGATGTAAACCTAAGTCGGGACGATCCAACAGAAACTCCTCTCGATTTTTGCCGTCGTCAGCCACCACCGACACACTACCGCGCACGCAAACAAGGAACTGATGACACTGACGATGCGCGTGCTCGCCTCGAGTCTCGACACTGGGCACATCAAATACAATGAAATAACGTTTGGCCTCGAAAGGTATAGAACGATCGAACTCTCCCACTGTAAGGGCTCCACGGATATCGGCTACCCGATGCATTGGATGTAACTCGACCCCTGACACCTTTGACCTGCCGGTTTGAGCGGGTTGCGGCTCCGAGTCGGTATCAGCCCTCTCTAAACTGGCATCTACATAGCCAACAATTCTGGCCGGGTTACCGACAACAATAGCGTTAGCCGGAACCGATCGCGTCACAACGGCCCCCGATCCCACCATCGCATTTTGCCCGATTTTTAGTCCAGGCAATATTGTTGCCCCTGCTCCAATGGATGCGCCTGACTCTATGACTGTGGTTAATGGTGTATTCTGGTGTTTCAGGCTGCGAGGGAATTTATCGTTAGTAAAGGTTGTGTTAGGCCCAACAAATACGTCATCGCCCAGCCGCAGACCGTCCCATAGTTGCACGCCATTCTTGATTGTGACTCGATCACCGACAACAACATCATTCTCAATGAAACAGTGGGAGCAGACATTGCAATCAACTCCGATCACGGCATCAGGGAGCACAACCACGTATTGCCAGAATTTAGTGCCGACGCCAACTCTATCAGTCAAAACATCTGACAGTTCATGGACGAAAATGTCCCCAGCGGTACTCATCACTAAACTCCGTCCTTGAATTCTGTTTGTTCTCTATACATTTTAATTTTTCCGGATCAGCCCATTGATGGGAGTTAGGTAAAACTTTAGCCGGGCAAAGCCAGGAGGTAGTATCTACTTATGACGAAATTATTTTGAGCTATCGGACACAGTGATAACACTTTATTCTGGAGCCAGCGGTAACACAATTGGACATTCGCCATTTTAAATTAACCGATTCAAAACTATTCGGCCCGGGTTCCTCTGGCCCGCAAAAAACAAAGAACTCGATTTAAAGCAGACCTGAGCGCCTGACAACAGTCTATCTAGTTGATTGGATACATCTTGAGGTAGACACTTAAAGTACGCTTAGAAACAACCACACCTCTATCAAAGACAATGCTATGACCGACAACAACGATGCGAGTGGACCGTTAAAAGTTTCCCAGGATCGTATCGACCATGCTGCACGTTACATCCCCAATCTTCCCCAAGGCCTGGTCGAGTTTTTCAAAGCGCCTAAACGAACAATTGGCGTTTGCTTTCCAGTGGAGTGTGATGACGGTTCAGTACGCACCTTTCAGGGCTTTCGTGTTCTGCATAGCAATATCCTCGGTCCTGGAAAAGGTGGTATTCGATTCCATCCAGACCTCACGCGTCCAGAAAGTGAATCCCTTGCAGCTTTAATGACATGGAAGTGCGCTCTTGTACATCTCCCTTTTGGTGGCGCCAAAGGGGGTGTGCAGTGCGATCCAAAAGCCCTGAGTGAAGGTGAATTGCGCAGATTGACACGCCGATTTACGAGCGAACTGGGCGACAATATCGGCCCACATACCGATATACCCGCGCCAGATATGTACACAGACGAGAGAACCATGGCGCTCATCTACGATACTTACGATGCGTTTCACAAAGGAGCAAACAATTTTGCTGTTGTCACAGGCAAGCCGATAGAGCTAGGCGGCTCCCTGGGGCGGCAGGAGGCCACTGGCCGTGGTTGCCTTTTTGCCACCGAGCGGTATCTGCAAATTATGCAGGACCCTGAATTATCTCAGCTGGATGGCGCACGCATTGTTATTCAGGGCGCCGGTAATGTTGGGTGGGCGGTAGCCAGACTGTTTGCACAGGCGGGCGCAAAAGTCATCGCGATCAGCGATTCCACCGGAGGCGTACTGCGCAAAGATGGTCTGGATCTAACGGACGTAGCGGAACACAAAGTAACGGAAGGCAGCGTGGTGGGTACGCCCAATACGCTGACCATCAGTAACGAAGATCTGTTACAACTGGAGTGCGACATTTTGGTACCCGCATCTATCGGTGAAGTTATTCATGTGGGTAACGCAAATCAGATCAATGCCAAATTGATTGTTGAGGCGGCCAACAAACCGGTTACGCCGGAAGCGGATGCCGTGTTATGGAGCCGCGGCATAAGAGTACTGCCAGATATTCTGGTCAACTCGGGTGGTGTGATTGTCAGCTACTTTGAGTGGGTGCAGAACCTTTCCAATGAGCAGTGGGAACTACAGGAAATTAATCAAAAGCTCCAGGCTAAGCTTTATAAAGCGGTTGATACGGTCCTCGAGAACTGGCGCAGAATGGCTTCTGATCACAAGGCGCTGGAATTTCCAGACTATCGCACTGCCGCGCTCGTTACCGCCATCGAGCGGGTTTCTTCTGTTACGCTTCATAGAGGCATCTGGCCGTA